GGTCAGGAGAACTGCCGGCTGCTGAGGCAGAGGAAGAGGAACAGAATATGAAGCTGGGAAGGAGGTGATGCGTAATTGCCACAGAAAGTGGTGAATGTTGGCAGAAAATGCATTTAGGAAATTCAGCAACAGGCCTCCCAAGGGAGGGTGGATTCAGGCTTGGGGAGTGCACAGGGCCAGGACAGAGAGGTGGCGCAGGGCCTGGCAGCAGCTGTCCCAGCATGAAGCAGCCCTGACTGGCTGACAGGCTGACCAGCACTGACCAGAGCTTGACTCAGGGGCAGACAGGTGCTGCCTCCCCAGGTTGGCAGACCTGATCCCTGGGGGCAGAGCACCTGGACTGGGGACTTGCTATGGCAATGCAGGAGCCTCGAGGAGAGCAGCAAGTGCCTTACTCTGCCCTCCAGGTGTGGGCTTAGCGCCACGAAGCTGCAGAGCTGCCAGAGCCTCTGAGGTCATCAGGCCAGCTCCTTCCCATCTTCATGTTCAGTCCAGGAAACACACAGGCAGCTTTCTTGGAAAGGGAACGTATCATTTTTAAAAATTCAAATCATATTGTAAATGCAAGGGGCCGGCTCATTTTTACATGAATACTTAGATGAAAGCCAAGAACCCTTTTGAAACTCAAGTCACCAAGGCCTGTTTTTAAAATATCTATTTCATAAGTTGGATGTCCATCTACGTCACTTACTTTAAATGGGACACTCCGGAACTGCTCCTCTGGGCTGAAAGAAATACTAAGCTCCAATTCTCACACGTGGAGGGTATGCCAACTGATTAACCCAAACTGAAAATGTACATAGTCTTTGAACCCTCGATGTTCTAGGGATTTCTCTAGCAGATAGATACACTGACCACAGACATAGGGCCAGAGAGTCTCCAATGGGCATGGTTTGTGATAACAAAAAATAATCTAAGTGTCCAGCAGTAGGAAATTGGTACAATGCATTATGTTGGCATGGAACAGTATGCTGGCTTTAAAAAGAATGTGGTGGATACAAGAAAGCTCCATGACATTTTCAGAAATACTGAGTGAACAAAGAAACAGGGTAAAAAGGCCTTGTAAACATATGCTTGCATATGCATAGAAAGGTCTGCAAGAACACACACAGGAGCTGGGGGTCTGGGCTGGCAGGAAAACTTACTTTTCATTGTGCTGGTTGAATTTTTACTATATGATGTATTATTTTTCAATTTGAAAAAAAGTCAGCCTCTTCTTTACGAATCCCGAGAGATGTGTGGCGGGGGAGGTGTCTCCTGGGACGCAACCAGCCCTGCACATAAAGCTGAGCTGTCCTGCGGGATTTCACCCACACCTTCTGGAACCAGAGTTGCCTTTTTATTTATTTAATTTTTATTATATAAAAGTAGTGTGTGGTTGCAAAGGAGATCTGGAAAAGTGGAAGGAAGAAAACAATTCGCTTGTGCTTATGCCACTTAACAACTTTCTTCGTATTTGATGGTCTCCCAGGATGACGTCTTTCCCATTCGTGGAGTCCTACTGTGTCCCCAGCTACCTGATTTTTCTTTCTTTCTTTCTTTTATCTTACAGTTGTATTGGGAATATTCTCCCATGGTCTTTACACTCTTGGCGAAAGACACAAGTTATTTCTGTGGATGTGATTCTCCGTTACCCCATTCCTCCCGAAGTCGGGCCTAATTCTCCCTGCGGCTGTTCAAACCCATTTGATTTTCTGGCATCTTCAGTGAAGAGTAGCTGGCTGCCAGGCCTTCGATACTCATGGCAAGTCCTTCAGCACAATTATGGACTCCGTGGGCCCTCGCATCCCTTGGGAAATTGCCTCCATCCCTGATGACATCGTTGCTATGGGAACATGAAAGCTGGGGCTCTGGGCAAGGGATAGCCCCTGGGCAGGGTCCCCCCTGAACTCGTGGATGGAGGCCAGAGTTCGAGGCTCCCCCTGGTGGCAGGGAATCACAAGGCTCAGAATCTGACCCATTTTAGGTTATTTTTAGTGGCAGATAAAGCGCACTTTTAGAATCCTGTCCTCTTTCAAACCAGGGTTGTTAAATCAACCACGAGCGGCACTGAGGCTCTGCCCTGACCCACCAGTCGAGGGCATTCACCTCGTACAGAACACTTTACCTAACTTCCCAGGCTACTGCCCCTCCACAGAGGAGCAAACTAAGACGCAGATGCTGGGCATCTGTGGCAGAGCTGGGACTCAGAAACCAGCCTCGCCCCTCTGCTGTAACTGGGGGGTCTGGCTGACAGCCCTCAAACAGCAGAAACGCGGGAGGAAGGGGCGGCAGTGCAGTGAACCGGGGCCCCGCCTTCCCCCGTCCAGGATGCCCTGACTCCAGGAGGCTTGGGGTCAAGGCCCTGTGAGAAGCACCGCCAAGCAGCCAGAGGATGGTTGGACCAAATTCGTGTCTGCAGGGGTCTGGGGAGAGGCTCTGGAAAGACCAGCCTGCGGTGCCACCAGCGGAAGTGGAGCCGGGACTCACTACAGGGAGAAGGCGGGCAGCGGGAGTTGGGCATCCTGCCAGCCCTGCAGAGCCACTCGGGGAAGGTCGAGGAGGGGGCTGAAGGGGAGGAAGACTTCCTTCCCGACAGAGGTCGGGGGTGTGATCCTCGCTAAGCCGGGGAGGGGGGGGGTCCCAGCTCTCAGGAAATCTCCTCTGGGTGGGTCTACTTTCACCGCAGAGACTGGACCCCCTCCCCCACCTCAATAACAAGCGTCCTTGGCTCTGGGATGGAAGGGCCGATGCAGCATGTAAGTTTTCAGCACTGGGGAGGGTGTCATGCCCTCCCGATGGGGGACTGACCCACCTGCCCTGGGCCCCCTGGCACTGGGAGAAATGGCACTTGATCACAGAAGACTCAGGCCTCCTGGACCTACCCTGGTCCTCTCTGAGTGGCACTCCAGCCCTTCTCCATCCCAGGTCTGGGGGTAGAGAAGTTCACTCCTTATCACGCTGGCCAGTAAACTGCTTCAGAATTTCACAGTCAAATATTTCCTTTTGTGTTAGGCAGAGTTCTCCAGAGAAATAGTGGATAAGCCAATAGATGTGTGCGTGTGTGTGTGTGTGTGGAATTGGCTCACATGACTGTGGAGACTGGTAAGTCCAAAATCTGCAGGGAGGTGGCAGGCTGCAGATGCAGGGCGGAGCTGATGCTGCAGGTCGAGTCTGAAGGCAGCCTGATGACAGAAATCCCTCTTCTTTGGGGAACCAATCTTTTTCTATTAAGACCTTCAACTGATTTGGCGAGGCCCACCCAGCACAGAGTGTGATCTGCTGTGTTCAGAGTCTACTAATTTAAATGCTCATCTCATCTAAAAATATCACATTCCCTTTGTTTTTGGTGACTTGGTGAGTAAAACTTTCACTCCCCCACTGCCCAGAATGAATCAGTGGGTGACAGAGGCCTCTACCAGAGGCTGCTGGACAGTCAGCATCCACAGCCTGAGCTGGCTTCAGGAACGTGAGTGTGGAGGCCAGCTCTGTCCCCACGGTCCCCACGCCCAGCTCAGGGCCTGCCCAGATGGCTGGACTCATTGTGTGCTTGCTGACGGTTTGGGAGTTTGGGCCTTGGGTCCAGTGGGAGGAGCCGAGGGTGGGGCGTGGTCAGGGGAGAGGAAGCTCAAGCAGTGAGGGGAAGAACTGGCTTTGGGAGACGGGGTGGGGACAGGGGTGGTCCTTAGTCTCCAGTTTCCAAAAGGAGCTTCACCTGGAGCCCAGAGAGGGCCTGAAGCTGGGTGGGCCATTCTTGCCAGGTTCTGAGTCACTGAATCAGGACTGGTCAGTCCACCCGAATGAGAGCGCTTGGCTCGCCCAGAATCACCTGCTGCACGTGCTGCTGCCGTGCTGGTGCTGGAGGCTCACTGGCACACACGAGCTCCTTTAGGGGCTATGTTCCTCAAGGTAAAGAAGAAGAAACTGAGGCTGAGAGGGAAGAAAAGTGAGCAGCTCCTGCAGCTTGAAGGCAGAGGAGTCAGATTTGAATGGAGGCTTACCTGGCTTCGGGCCTCTGCATGGGGTTCTGTTGTCATGTCCTGGGGGCTGAGGCCTGAGTGTGGGATTGGGGGCTTCCCTGTGCCATGGTCAGCACTTGCCCCCATGGTGGGCCTGACCCGATGACCGAGGGCACCTAGCCTGGGGTCCAAGGAGTGGGTGTCCACTTTGAAAGCATCCACTTTCAGAATCTGCTGGTGCTGGATGGTGCTTCCTCCAGAGGCGACTCCCTTTGAGCTGTGGGCAGGTGCAGCCACGCCAGGCCTTGGAGGAGTCACGTCCCACCGACCCCACTGAGATTAGGACACGTGTAGCAGTGTCACCCTTGGCCAAGTGGTCAGCTTTCCTGTGGAGTGTGGGTTTCCAGGGTGTCCTGGAAAGACCCAGAGGTGAAAGCCCAGCCTGCATTTGCCCTGTGAATGGCCCACGTCCTGTTCTCCACACTCCTTTTGGGGGTCACTGAGCAGGGCTGTGGGGTCCAAATGATGCTGCCATGGAGAACAGGTGGCCCCTGGGGATGAGTGTAGAGGTCACAGAGCTGTCACCTGGGCCCTGGGAGCCCTCAGGTACTGTCACCCAAGGTCCTCCCAGCACCCAGGGCTGTGTGGTGTCTAGATGATGCTGAGTCACCAATAGGGGGAGAGGACTGGACTGTGCCCCCCTCAGCTTTGCATGGCCCTGGGAACACACCTCAGTCCCAGCTGAGAAGCCTTGAGGTTGACAGAAGGCTGAGGGACCTGTCCAGGGTGTGGCCATCCCACACGAGCACTGGGACAGGCCTTAGAACGGCCGCTGCTTTGGCCTGTGCACCCTGCTGAGCCACACTTCTTCAGAACCAGCCATGAACCGCCTGACACAGCAGGAGCCGGTTCTCCCAGAGGACCTGGGCCAGGGGAGGGGGCAGCCGGCGCTGGGTGGGTGGGGTGGGAAGGTGGAGGGCGCTGCTCCCAGCTCTGCTCGGCCTCTGCGATGAGGAAGTTCTTTGCTGCTGGTTTCCTTTCCTCGCTGAGCGCCCGAAACAGGAAGTCGGTCAGTGAGCTGGTGGCAGCAGCCCGGGCAACCCAGAGGGAACAGACAGTGAGCAGTAGCAGTGCGGGGGCCTCAGCTCCCCTCCGTGGCGTGTCCGTCCCAGGGTGGCTGCCAGCCCCGGCCCGGGAGGTGTGCACCCACCATGGTCCCCTGCTGGAACCACGGCAACATCACCCGCTCCAAGGCGGAGGAGCTGCTCTCCAGGACGGGCAAGGATGGGAGCTTCCTCGTGCGCGCCAGTGAGTCCATCTCCCGGGCCTACGCACTCTGTGTGCTGTAAGTATGAGGCTCCCCACCCTGCGCCCCTCTGCCCTGGCCTGGTGTCTCCTGATGATGGAGGTGCTGCTCAGAAGAGGGGTGGCCAGCTTGGGGGTTCGCCAGGGGCCGGGCCTTGAACAGGTCGCTTTATGCTGGCAGATGCAGTGGCCTGACTTGCACACTGCCCACGCTTCTTGGTAGGGCCAGCTGAGGCCCATTGTGGACTTGCTTAGTGCTGGACGTCAGGTTTTGTGGCACTAGAGCTCTCCACAATCCCCCAGGGGCCTGGTCACAGACCCAACCTTTGAGCCTGGTGCCAGGGGCTTCCTCAGGGCTCAAGGGGCCAGGGGGAGGGGGTCTGGGCCTTAGAGGCAGGGGGCAGCATAGGGCTTCATGGTGGTGGGTGTGTTGGAAAGCAGCTCAGTCAGCTCACATGTGGGTCAAAGATGCCCAGTTTGGAAGCCCTCCTGGCAGAGCAGATGTGGCAAGAGGGGACCCTCCCATGCCGAGGCTACTGGCCCCTGCAGGAAGCCGTTGTTTGGGGAGCCAGGGATAGGGTTGGGTTCACTCAAGAAAGGCACCCAGTTTGCCCAGAAGTGGCATTCCGGCCTTGAGAGCAGAGGAAGTCACCGTCACCGACAGTGAGAACCTCTTTTCTCCCCGCCTCCGCGTTAGGCTGTGTCCCCACCCACTTGGGCCTCTGCCACCATCAATTCCCCCCACTCCCCAGCTGTGGGATGTTATTGAGTGTATGAGTTATCCTGACTGCCAAGGAAACAGCCGGTTGTTGAGAGTCCCTTTTTAAAACACGCTTCTTGACCCATGTCTGAAGGAAGCCTGCACCCCTGCAGCCCTATGGTCTAGTCACCCCGACTCAGGCCTCGGGCAGCACCAGGGTGCAATGGGGGAAGTGCAAATCCTCCTGCACCTCTCAGGTAGGGTCCCTGGGCTTGTAGAAAGCCTAGGCAGGGCCCTGCCCATCTCCAGGCAGGAGAAGAAGTGGTGCACTGGACACAAACCTGTTTTGAGCATTGATTCTAAACATTTGTCAGCACATTACCCCTTTTCATCCTCTTGGCAACCTGAAATGCAGGTTCTGTTGTCACCCCACTTTGCTGATGAGGACACTGAGGCTCAGACAGTTTAAGCCAAAGCCATTTCCCCCAGACGTTGCACCCACAGAACCGGACTCCTGCCACCTCGCTGCTCCCCATCCAGCTGGGTGTGAGCAGAGGCCGGGGGGTGGGGGGGAGTTTACGAGAGCCAGCTGGGAGCATTAGAAAGTAGCCCAGGCCCACAGCTGGTCTACCAGCCTGAGCTCTGACTGTGTCAGAGGCTCCACCTCCCCAGGTGGCTTCCTCCACCCCCGATTCTCGTGCCCAAGGGAAGGGACCCAGGACTTCCCTGCAGGGGAGGAGACCTGCCAATGGGGTGTTAGAAATGGTGGGGTGGCCACCCCCATCCAAGCCCACGCAGCCCACGAGGATTTCTCTCCTGCCACAGTGGGACCTTTGGGAAGGCTGATTCTGTCAGGTGTTGGCTGTGGGCCAAGCCTCCTGCTTAGCACATCCAGGGCTCCAGCTGGCTAACCTTCACAGCAGCCCTTTGACCAGGGTGCGTGCTTGTGCCCAGCTTATAGGCACAGAACGTGGGTCTCTCTGACTCCAAACTGGCAGCATAATGGCAAGCCAGAGCCAGAGCTGGGACTAGAGGCCTTGGACTTCTAGCCCGAGGGCCCCTGACTTTGCAGGGGAGTGGACAGAATTCTGAGAGGTTGAGGCCTTTGTCCACCTGCTAGTGGTGGCAAACTGGGATCCTGGCCTGGTTTCCATATTTGTTCCCCCATGTTCCCTCTGCTCCTCTCCCCTCGTCTGCACTGAGTTACTCTCAGAGCTGCAGTGAAATGCGGGATGCGCACCTTAGGGAGGGTGCCCATGGGGCCCACGGATGTCCACCACCCTCTTAGCCTGGGCCTGGACTCCTCATCAAGCGCCCATCCCTAAGGCCCTTTTAAGTCCAGACACCAAGGCTGGAAGCCTGCCCAGTAGACCCACCCCTCAGCCAGGCCCCTGCCCCCCACAAGACTCCCCTTCCCCTCTGCTCTGCCTGGAAGCCACACTCCCTGCAGGGTCAGGAGCCACTGTGGGCTCTGGGGTCCCACGGACCACCGAGTCCTCCAAACACCTGGGAGCACTCATCCTGCTACCACCCTTAATTTTGCCAGTTAAGGAGATTTTAAAATGATAAACTAAATGAATGGCAAGTCACTGCCACCTTCCAACAGTTCATTTCATGAAAGAAAGCACCCTTTAACACCAAAAAGGTAATAAGAATATATTCTTTAAAAAAAAAAAAAAAAAAAGCCAGTCCTTTAAATGAAATAGATTTAACTTCCTGGAAAACAAACTCCACCATCCTTAGTTTTTCTCCATTCCCTGGGGACTGGTGAAAAACTTGTCCCACGCCAGCCGGGACCACAGCCTGGTGCTGGGAGCCCGGATGGAGTGAAGGGCCCCTGCGGTTCACTCCTCTGCAGCTCTTTGGAGGTCAGCTGCCAGCGCAGGGAGCCGAGGGGTGCCGCTGGGGATCCAGGGCCCTCTGGTGACCCTGCTCTAACGTGGGCCAGGCCTGAGACGGAAGCCACAGGTACTCGCGCTCCTGCTCTAGGAATACATGTGGGAAGGGACGGGGTGGAGGGGCCTGTGTGTGGTGGGGGTGGCCAGCAACTAACTGCTGATTGAAATAGATGTGTTTGGGGCTCCAGCAACTGAGCACAGCTCCGTGGGGAGTGGCCTTTGTGCCGGGGAGAGCACACGATTTGATGACTGAAAGAGAACTAGGGCAGAGGGTGAGGGAAACGGCAAAGGACAAGGCAGGCTCAGGGCCCTGTGGCCTGAGGAGTGCCCATTCTCCTGAGACGTGAGCCCTGCCACCCGCCTCTGGGTGTGAAAGCACAGATCTCAGCGACTCACAAAGCCCATGTTAGGGGGCCCTGGAGGCCCATCTCAGGGCCCAGAGAGCTAGAGGGAGACCCCGGGCAGCCGACCACATGGTCTGAGTCCAGCTCTGCAGCTTGAGAACACGAGGGGTAGCGGGCTCTCCCCAGCAGGGCCTGTGTCACTCTCACCCGGCCCCTCTCAAACCCACCAGCAGAGTCAGCCCTGCTCCAGGGATTTCTCAGGGGCAACTTGTGGAGACGCCAGGCCCATCTTGGAGGGAAGATGCCGAGAGGCTGCCACTACCTGGCAGGTTAAATTCATCCGTGGTGCACAACACTTCACTGAATGGTCTCATGCCCCGGAGTGTGAACCCAAGCTTAGCGATGAGATGGTGGTGGTGCTCCTAGCCAGGCCTTCCTCCCTGCCCCAGTGATGGAATACGAGGAGGTCTGCTCTTCCCTGCCGAAGTCATGCCCTAGGACACAGCCCTTAGGGGCAAGCATTCTGTGTCCGGCTAGATCTGATGTGAGTCCTAGCATTTGCAACATGTTAACCTTGTGCCCACCTTGCTTCCTCGTGATGCAATGCCCATCTGTTGTTGTTGTTGTTTTTACTGAGATATAATGCACATCCCATAAAGTCTGCTTTTGTACGGTGTACAGTTCAGTGGTGTTTAGTACATTCATTATGTTGTACAACCATCACTACTATCTAATTGCAGAAGGTTTTCATTATCCCAGAAAGAAACCCTGTAGCCTATCCCCTCTCCCCCCAACTCTTGGTGACTGCTAGTCTACTTTCTGTCTCTAACCATGTGCTTTTTCTGGGTATTTTCTGTCAATGGGCTCATATAATATGCAGCCTTTTGTGTCTGGCTTTTTCACCTAGAATAGTGATTTCAAGGTTCATCCATGTTGTAACATTGAAACAATCTTTTTCATGATAGAATAATAGCCCATTGTATGGATATACCACAGTGTGTTTATCCAGTCATTAGTTGATGGACATTTGGGTTGTTTCTACTTTTTGGCTATAATGAGTGATGCTACTATGAATCTTATGTACAAGCTTTTGTGTGAATATTTGTTTTCAATTGTCTTGGGTGGAACTGCTGGGGCATATGGTAATCCTGTGTGTAACAATGTAATGTACAACTTATAGCAAGCATTCTGCATCCCCTTGAGCAGTGTGTGAGGGCTCTCATTTTTCCATGTCCTCGCCAACCCTTGTTGTTCTGTTGGTGATCACAGCCGTCCTGCTGTGTGTGTTTGGCATCTCACTGTGACTTTGCTTTGCATTTCCCTGATGATTGGTGATGCTGAGCATCTTTTCATGAGCTTATTGGTCATTTGTTTATCTACTTTGGAGAAATGTCTTTTCAGATCCTTTGTCTATTTACAAGTTAGGTTATTTGTTTTTCTTTCATTATCAGTAGATTACTGAGAGGATGAAATGGGAGAAAGTGGGAAACATGTATCACCCCAGGCAGGCACATGGTAATAAGCACTCGCTGAATGCTGGCCATGAATTTTTATAAGCTATAAAATGCCTAGTGACATTTTGGAGGCAGAGGAGTATAGGGCCCATCTGTGAAGAAAATTCCAGAGCAGAGGGAAGGAGGGGAGCGGGTCACTTCTGGAACTTCCTGGAGGCCCTCAGGAGCCTCCGGGAGATACTGAGCTGCCATGTGGGGCCTCTTCAGAGGAAGTACTCAAAGAGATAAGGCAGGAAGAGGACTTGAATGGCCCATGAGTGACTGGTGGCTGCTGGGGACAGGGTTGAGCGCCTGTAAGCCTGAGGGAGAGAGGGGACCCAGCAGATGCCAGTAAGAACCAGTGAATGAGGGTAGAGGCCATCTTAGGAGTGATTCACTAACTGCAGTTCAGGAGGGAGATCCGGAGAGGACTAAGTCCCCAGCTTGAGGGAGCTTGTCAGGAGGGGGACCTCAGTGCCTCTAAGCATATCAGGGCCCTGCCCGCTAGAGGGGGAAGATTGAGCCCGACGGTCTGAGACACCAGATCCTTTCTCTCGCCCTGTTCATTTCACACTCACTTTGTTCCATTAGTTAGAAAAGCAGTG